GTTCTTCCGGCAGCGCGGGCAGCGGCCCTTCGAGTGGTACGGGGCCTTCCCGGAGCTCTGCCCGGTCCTGCACAAGTACGTCCGCCCCCGCGACAAGGTGAGCCCCGTTCGGTACCCTCTGCCCGGGCCGGGCCTCCTCCGTGCCGGCCTCCTCCTGGGCGGCGAGCTCTGTGCCGCCGTGTCCCGGCTTAAAGCGCCGTCGTGCGCTGACACAGACGATGCCAAGCCCCCAGTGCGACGTAGCAAGAGAAGAGGAGAGACCCGCGCCTTGCCCTGGGATGGGGAGCTCTGGGGGTTAAAACATCCACGTCGTTCCCAAAAGAGATGCAACAGATGCATCGCTTCTGTGCCCCTGTGACGCTTCTGTACGGAAATGTTATCTCAGGGCCCCGGAGAGTGGGTTTGCAGGTGCTGTGGGTGTGCTTTTCACAGAAGGCTCGTGGCCGCGGCTGATATTTGCTCATAAAATGCTTTGGGGTGCGTTTCCAGGGCGTTCTCGCCATCACACTGCTCTTGTGCTGCTCTCCAGGTTCTGGTGGTGGGCTGCGGGAACTCAGAGCTGAGCGAGCAGATGTATGACATGGGGATGTGCGAGGACATCGTGAACATCGACATCAGCGACATGGTGATCCGTCAGATGCAAGAGCGGAGCAGGAGCAAGAGGCCGAAGATGAGCTACCTGCAGATGGACATGCTTCAGATGGACTTCCCTGATGCCCACTTCCAGGTGGTCTTGGACAAAGGCACACTGGATGCCATCCTTACCGATGAAGAGGTGGCCACTTTAGCCAAGGTGGACAAGATGTTTGCCGAGATCAGCAGGGTCCTGCAGGTAGGAGGGCGCTACTTTTGTGTCTCCTTGGCTCAAGCCCATGTGCTGAAGAAAGCAGTGGAATACTTCTCCCAGGAAGGCTGGGTCGTGCGTGTCCATCAGCTGGCCAGCAGCAGAGACAAGCAGCAGTTTGTCCTACCAGTCTTCGTCTACGTCATGACAAAGTTCAGGAAGATCCCCGGCTCCACACCGCAGATCCTGGAGATCTGCCCCGAGGAGCAGGACAAGCCGATGCGGGTGGAGAGTGCGGAGCAGCTGGTGGCAGCGGTGAAGGACAGGCAGCATTATGCCCTGCTCTGCAGCCAGCTGAGCAAAACCCCCTGTGGGGAGCAGGTTTCCCTGGATCTGTGTGACAAAGAGAGTGGGAGGCCTCGCTACACTCTGCATGTGGTTGACAGCCCTTCAGTGAAACCTTCCCGGGACAATCACTTCGCCATCTTCATCAGTGAGTACAGCCTCTCCTGCTGGCAATGAGATGGTGCTCTGGCCAGGAGCTGTGAAACAGCCAGCGGTCCTGGCCCTGCTGAAATCGGGGCTGGAGAGGGAAATAACCCGCCTGTGCAGGGTTTGGTTGATGTTTTAGTCCTGGCTTTGCAGCGGAACATGTGTTTGCCTGGTGGTGCAAGCAGAGATCTGGCACAGAGATTTCTAGCTGAGTGGATGCCCATCTGGCAGCGGAGGGGTGCTGCCTGCCCTGCCTCCAAGGTGGTCATTCCTGCCTTGGTGCTGGTGACAGCCACCATAGCCCGTTGCTGCATAAAGCCAAAGCACAGCAGACGCAGCCGAAAAGGCGTTGCTGGTCTGTGTGGGTGTCCTGACTTGCCAGGGCCAGGCTCCTCGGGGCGGTGCTTCGCTTTTGTGCTTGCACCTTGTGGAGACACGTCGGGCTCCACCAGCAGCACTATTCCCTCCCTGTGTGCCTGCAAAGCTGGGGCTTAGCAGAGCCTGGAGATGGGTCATGAGGCTGTTGGATGCCCTCATCTTATGAGACATGGCTTTTCCAGCCTCCTACATGAGCCTGCCCAAAATGGAGAAGGCCCTGGCTCTCTTGAGGGTTGCAGAGCACAGCTCTAGGCATGCAGTGGTACCTTCTTGTGATGTCTTGCCATTCCCTGTGGCTCCTCTCTTGGAGGTCAGCATGGTCGCTCAGGGACCAGGACTGTCCCAGGCTGATGGCAGCCCTTTCTACAGTCCCACAGGGCAGAGAAACTGAGTGGCTCTTTGGGACGGAGGAAGGGCGGAGGCAGCTGGCCGCCAACGCGGGCTTTGGGCGCCTGGTCACTGTGGCCCTGCACAGGGAGCAGCACTACGAGGGCATGGCTGGCATCCAGGCGGAGCTGTCGGGGAAGGTGATGGAGCTGGCCCCGCCGGGCCTCCCTGCCCGGCAGCAGGTGAGCCCTGCCACCCAGCCCCCTTGCTTGGCTTCCCCAAAACCGGGGCCAGGCTGGCTTTCTGCCAGCAGCGAGTCCCTCTTCTCCAAAGGAGACGAAGCTGCAATGCATGAGTTGGTTGCCTTGGTGGGGAGGAGACTGGCCTCAGGTTCCTCTTGGTTTTCGCTCCCGCTGGCTGCCTTTGCTTGGAAGCAGGATTTGAGGTGCCTGTGTGGCAGGATTCAGTGTGAAGTCCTTGCCCTCCAAAACCCAGCATCCCAAGAAAACCAGGCATCCTGAAACCCTGAGAACATCTGGTGCCTTCTTAATCCTGGCTTTAACTTCTCCTGTCCCTCCTGTCTCCTTCCTGCCCCAACTCCCCAAACCTGAGCTCTTGCAAGAAGTCTTGGGGTGTTTGCTCCCTGTACCCTGACACGTGCATGGGAGGGAAGCTGGTGTCCCTTGCACTGTTCCCCAGCTCCCCTGTGGCTGCCTACAGCGTATCCTGCTGCTCCTGCACTGTGTCCGCTTCATCACAGCTCTTTAGCCATGGTTAGGATTTTTTCCAGGGTCTGTTCCTGTAGCCTTTCCTTCCTCACGTCAGTCCCTGTCCTCCCTGCAGGTGCCCTTCCTGTCTGTGGGAGGAGACATTGGGGTGCGGACAGTGCGGCACTGCGACACCAGCCCCCTGAGCGGGGAGTACGTCGTGGAGGACGTGAAGGGGGATGGCACCTGCTACTTCCGCCGCCTCGTCTTCCTCCGCAACAGGAACGTGGTGCAGTCGGAGGCTCGGCTCCTTGCCCCCACACCTCTCCCAGGTACATGGGGCAGCCAGGAAGGGGCAGGGGCCAAAGGTGACTTTTTGGGGTGGCAAAGAGTGAGATTGATGTAGGAGGAAGATAAAAGTCCCACTGGGACCTGCCTGCCTTGTCCTGGAGCAGCTCTGGGAGCATTTTTACCCTGCAAGCGGACTGCTTGCCTTGTGGGTGGGACAGGGGCTGGGGGTGGCTAGTCCCCAGAAAGCATCCCTGCTCTCCCCCCTTGCCTTACCAGCCAATGCCTCCTGTCATTCAGGCCAGAAGAAACGGAGGAAGGACAAGAAGAAACCCAGCCCTGCTGAGCCACCTACAGCCATCGACAAGAGCTACCTGTGCTGTGAGCACCACAAGGCCATGGTCGCGGGGCTCTGCCTGCTGGGGGGCCCCGATCCCCTCCCAGGTGACGAGGCTGGCAGTGGGAGGCTGTGCCAGGGGCAGGCGTGTGTGTTCCTATGCCTCAGCTCCTTGGGGAAGGGCTTTCCTGGCCAAGGTGCCCCACGCACCCTTCCTGAAGTGGTTTGGGGCTGGTGGGTGGGATGAGCAGTGGGAACATGGCCATCCTGGTGGCTCACTGGGCGCTATCCATTGGCAGGGG